ACGAACACTATAGTGGTTGTTGGTATAAGATCTTGCGTTAGTATAATCCGTACAACTCGCGAACGTCGATACCGTCAATCTCTAAATACTCTTTTTCAAGTGTTCGGATGCGCATATCATTTAATTTTCTGGTTTCATCAGAATATGTCTTCCACTCTCTCAGCTCCATTATTACATCTTTTACAAGGCGTTTTGTAAGTTCTATTTCGTTTTCAATCGATTTAGTTTCTTTTTCTTCGTCATCTCGTATCTTCCAAGTTTCAAGCAGATATAATTTTGTATCATCACTCGAAACTTTCGGTTTCTCCACATTTGAAAACTCTATCAGCTTTAAAGATGTTTCTTTGAACAAAATTTCGCCTTGCTTTTTAAGTCTCCTTAGGTCGTCCAATTTCTCAGTCAGAATATTTCGAAGTGATTCTCGTTTAAAATGAAGCCTAGAAATCAACTCGCGAAGATTGCTAATCTGGTAATCAAGAATAGCCTCTTTCGGAGTAAGTTTATCAATCTTCTTAGGCTTATTATTTGTAATTTCAGCTTTAACCTTTTTAGGCGGCATCTGTTTAACTCTGTGTAGACTCTAACGACATGACAACACAGTGAAATAATGTGATCAAACTGTAGGATGGATACAATATTCAATACCGCTCAATATCCAATATCATTGTTGCGATCTAGTGTAAACTAAGTTGATTTCTTTGTGCTCGCTTCTGAGTTGTGAGGCAAAGGTTCTTAGCCTTCGGTAAACTTCTGCGTAGTTTGTCCCTTCACTCGACTGTAGCAGCTTTGGATTAAGTATGTGTAGTTTGTGGTATGCGGTGTGTTAAGACTGTGTTGCTACTGTGAATGGAGTTGATCCTTTCACCTCTCAGTCGTCCGGCGTGGTCGAAAAGAGATATAATAACAGATATAATTAGTGTAGGTATTAAAGACTAAAAAAGAGAAACTAAGAGAAAGAAAATACAAAAACATATGGCTTATGAAATTTGGAGTTGATGTGTATATACACATACAGTTTGAAGTCATTAGTTTGCAGGAAAATAAGTATAATAGTAACCTACATATCCCTACTGATGATTAGAATTTTGTGCACAAGGGAGACAAGCTTGTATAGAACTAGTGATTAATTGATAGTTAGGCTTTACCTTTTTGTAAAATTTATAGACATATGACGGATCGCAGTGCTGAGGATTTGGCTTCTTGACTGCTGTAAATCTGATAAAGATAAAGTACGTTAATTTATTTAGAAAGGAATATGCGGTTGATAGCAGGACAACGAATTTGTTAGGACTTGGAAACTGCTCCCCATTAGACGATCACCCAGAGTCATCGACAAACTCTCAAAAGAGGGAGGTAGTAACAAACTAGAAATGCATTACAGAGAATTAGTGTATGAGAGGATTGGAAGTTGTAACAGGAGTAGTGAGCATGGGATAGGTGAGGAGGAGACAGCACACACTCAATAAACGGAAGACTACGATGTTGTGGTCGATAAATTTAACAGTTGAGATAATCTGGAATGACAGTGCAGTCCTCTGGAGTAGATGGTTTCCCATTCATTTCTGCCCAATATTCTACCCCACTGCATCTGTCAACTTCCGAGCAGACACCGTGTTGGCCAGCAGTGAGCTCCATAAGTAACTAACCCCAAGAAAAGAAATTACACTGTGTTTTTATTGGGTTCAGATTGGTGAAAACTGTAGCGATATTAATCGTCCCCTAGCTGTGGGTAGCTGGCAGTTTGCGAGCCCAGCTTCTGAAGCCCATAAATACAATGTCAATATTTTAGTTAGGTGAAGGCTTAAGCTGCTTTATAGATGGAGTTGTGGTGATCTTGCGTCTACTGCTGTATTTAAAGTCCAGATGTTATGACGCCTAGGTGCCTGTGATTAAGTAGGAGGCTTCACTGGATTTTGCTATGTCTCTTGAGTTACTGACAGGTGTGTCTAGTTGCTGTGTCAGGAGTAGCCAAAGAGCGAACTCTGTCTCTATATGCAAATGCTTAGTCCTTCATAGACAGAAAAAAGCCTTCCGCACTACTGACATGCTGATGCCCATGGCTCGACCTTTACACATGTTAACCACCAGTGCATTTACTTTGGCCCCATTCTCCACATTCTTTGTCTTCCTTATTCATCACTAGATACCTTACTGTTTCTAGATTGCTCAGAAATTCACCCCTCTGTTTTCTAACAGCACACTTACCGACTAGTTCTTGTTCTCTGAGTTACCGAACAGATCCTTGCAATACGATTTCGGCTTAATGTCTGGATCGGTTATAGCGTATGGAAAATATCAGTGTCCAGAATTAAAACTGCCTTATGGAGAACTGGCGATAATCTGAAAGCATTTGCAGTCGCTGCCTCGAAGTTAGTTGAGGTATTTAGGTTACGGATTAAATCACGCCTATATCATAATATTCGGGAAACGCGAGTAGAGCAATACCGTCAGTTGAGTTGTGCATATTCTATGACTGATGTGTCTAACCACTCACCTGCTAATACTAATATCCAAGGATTAGTGGTTACACCATTCGACCTGAATACGTGAACACGGAACACGCATTACTGTTTCAAAACGATACAGACTTCACAGTTAACTAGTAATCTGTGACAAAAAGAAACTTCGCAATTTGCTCACTACATTCCTAAACATAAACAGAATAAGAAGACCTTCGGTGGGTAGGGTCCATGACCACATCATAGATTAAAAAAGAAATCCCCCTCGATGACACACTGGTTGACTGACGAAGGCGCCACACTTGTTATTTGTCTTCTACTTTAACTACTTCTAATATTTCCTATCATGTAGCTGAAAACTTTCATGACTTTATTACTCTCGATGTTCTAAAATGTCTTAAAATGCTCAAGCCCTCACGTAGCCTTGGCCCTGGTGGTATACCTGCATATGTTCTAAAACAATGTGCAGATGCGTTGTGTTCTCCACTAACCAACATCCTAAATGCTTCTTTCTCCAAAAGTATCGTACCTGACGCATGGAAAGACATCAAAATTGTCCCTGTCCCTAAAACTGGAAACAGCAAGAACGTAAAAATCAGACCCATTCCCATCACCTCCCCGTTTCTAAAGCTTATGGAAAAACTAATACTTCTTAAACTTGAACCCTCCCTTAAAAACTTCGAAGACCCCAAACAATTTGCCTATAGACAGGGTAGGAGCACTTTAGACGCTGCAGCTGTCTTACACAACAACATCGTCTCATCATTAGATAAAGGTGTATGTTTCTTGACTTCACTTCTGCTTTCGACTCTGTTCCTAGATGTCTCCTGCTAAATAAGCTCTCTTTGACAAAAACTGAGTCCTGGGTTACTAACTGGCTGCATTCCTACTTCTCTAACAGAATGCAGTACACCGTATATAAAGGCAAATCATCCTCTGCTGTACTCACTGAAGCCGGAGTCCCCCAAGGCGCTGTCATCTCCCCACTTCTCTTTTCTTTCTTTCTACATGACTTACCATCTTCAAGTGACATTAATTTTGTCAAATATGCTGACTATCTGACTGTATCTTTGCCTGTCAAATGTCAAAGCGACTGCTCTAAACTTAATAGCTTTCTGTCAGAAATCAGCCAGTGGTCCAAGGAAAATGGTCTTACCCTAAGCCCCTCCAAATGCCAAACAGTCAATTTCACCTTTAGGCATAAATCCGACCTAAGAAACTGGTTGGCTCTCACGAGGTATGCAACATAGACGGAACTGAAATAGAAACTAAATAGGAAATTAAATACCTAGGCGTCATTCTATCTGCTGATCTCTCCTGGTCGTCTCATATCTTGGCGATTTCTGAGAAAATATTCCGTCTTACCTTTTACATCAACAGCTTAAGCATTCTGGTATAACCCAACCCTTACTCCTACAATTCGTTAACTCTAGCATTCTACCTATTGTTCTCTCTTGTTCCTCCTTAGTTTCTCCCGGGCTACTGAAGAAAGACTATAACATATTACGCAGGATGTTAAAGGTTGTCAGCAGGGTAAGCAACGTGCCACTTAACCAGCTTGTTAATATTCTGGTCGACAGGCACATGGACTCACGTGAAAAATGGGCCAAGTCCATTTTATCTAACTCACAACACCCTCTTCACTCACAACTCTCCCCTTGCATCTCATCAGGCAAAACCAAAAGCCTATATAGAAAACTATATGCTCGCACCAGCAAGTACAAAAACTCAACCATACCCTGCTTAGCTCGTGTTCTGTGCGATAAAGAAAGCATTAGGCGTGACACGTATAATTCATTAAATAGTCAGTAGAACAACTGGACCTCGTCTTTCCAACTCATATCATTTATGGGTACAAGATTTTCTTTCCCTTTTCTCTCTCTTTGATTTTCCGTTATGTGCTGCTTTGTTTCTTTCTCTCGCTTACGCCAGTAAATATGACAGTTCCTACTTTTCTAACAACTTCAAACAATGTTTCAGCTTTCCTTTGCTACCGATATACCAATGTGTTGTTGTAATAATGAACTGAGATTTCCTTAGTCTATGTAGAAATCTATTTATTGATAATGCACTAACTTGATGCAACACTGTAGTAAAAATGCTGAGAATTCCATTCTGTATCACAAGTACTATTTTGGAATAAAGCTAAGTTCCGAGCTTCAGCTTCGAAGTTTCAGTGGCAATGGTTTTATCTTCACTCGACGGGGTTGCTAGCCGCCTCTTCACAATCGAAATTCCCTCTCTTCACTGGAATTAATACTGGCTTCACGAGATAAAGGCAACTTCCCAGAGCACATGTTCGGTGGTGATGATGATTGTGGTTGGCGAGCGCATTCTACCATTAAGGCAACCACCACCGAGCACTACACATTGCGAATACTTACGAAAGTAAAGAATTCATGAGTCAATCAAATTCACATCTACTGGTTGCAGAATGATCAACAACCGGACCGGTCGTAGAGCTGATCTTTGATTAGGTCACCATATTATTAAAAACAACAGTCCCAAAAGTTAGCCATCTATGCTCTGTTCTTCTGTAGGCCTACTAGCGATTCTTGCTAAATGTTTTTGGATTGTGAAGAAATCATCCATAATCTGAATAAATAAATGGAAGAACGTGCATCCATGAAAATGGATCAGGGACTTTTCAACCAGCATCGGTTTTTCACTATTCACTTTTTTCCTACCACTTTGTCTCTCTTTCTCTCTCTTTTATAGAAGAGACGAAATTGAAGCCAACCAAGATTATCAAAAACAACCACAATAACAATAACGCGTTATTCAAATTTTATAATTCAAAATCTAACCAACGAGTATTAGTAATAATAATAATAATAATAATGAATAAATCTGAATTTCTGGCTCCTGTATATGTACAATCATAATCGTTAAAAAAAACATGTATATGTATATAACAAACACATAACGAAAATAAACGCAAACATTTATGTCTTTGTGTCTGTACAAACTGTACCTATATGTATAACACATAACTGTGCATAAGACAGTAATAGAACATACAATGAAGAAAGATGTATGAGTTAATGTACCAACCAACCAACCAATCAATCAATCACTCAGTCTGCTTGCCGACTGCTTGTCTGACTATCCGTCTGTCCATGATGTGAAGTTTTATGTCTTAATAAACTATGTCGTGACCTATAACACTTATTACAAAGTGAACAAAAGAATATCTTTCTGACAACACCACCGCCACTGCTGCTGCTGTTGTCATTCTCTTCACGAACAGATTCACCTGATTTAGACAACGATGATGATGACGTCGTCGCTGGTGCTGCTGTTGAGCCGGATCCAGTAGCTGGGGTATTATTATTATTCAACAACGACAACAAATTAGGGTTATTGTTTTTAGGTCCAGATGGAGTAGATGCGACTGTGTTGAAAAATTAACAGACAAACAAACAAACAAAAATTAATTAATTACTTGATTAATTAAATTATAGAAGCATTCCGAGTGCAACAACATAAAATTTAGAATCAACATCAATAGTGATACTCCTCCATCATCACATTCATGCTCTCAAGATCGACGACCACCGACTGATATCACTAGCAGAACCATTGGAAACCAATCAGGAGTGTACTGGTGTCTGTCTGTTTGTTTTCGACGTAGAACTACTTTGCACCGATGTGCGGCAGTTCAAGTCGCCACACTCTCTCCGTGTAGCACACAAAGCAAGTGAAGAAATGCATAATACAGACAGTAAACAGAGGTGTGAGACAAAGCAATAGTAATAACGAAGAACGACATAGTTTTATTGGAAATTATAAGTCACAAGGAGTGGATGCATCTGCACTACGCATGGAGAACGATTTTAAGCCATACCACCAATTGTTTCCAACCGCTGGTTTTTACCGTCCCGAGGACCCCAACCAGACTGGCAGTCTATACCTTCCTACGTCGCTTAAACTAACTGTTGTGGATTTCATTGACTGATGAAGACATGTTTTGGTTTGACCGCCGCTAGCTCTTTCCCAGTCTGACTCTACGTCAGTTAACATTTCCCATTGTCGATGAAGGTGATGACCAGGCATACGTAACACATGTCCAAACTATCTCAGTCGATGCATCTTCACAGGCTCGTCGATAGATTTCCCCTCCCACCTACCTAGAACTCGACACCTAACCTCAGTATTGCTCACCTTATTATACCACTTCACACGGGAGATAGAACGCAGACACATATGATCGAACACAGCTAATCTTTTCATGTCTTCCACTCTCAATGGCCAGGTCTTACAGCCAGCCATAAAGGAGGACGGAGCGGACTGATGAGCAGTACACACGCCCTTTGGTCGACAGCCACCAGGATATCACGTCTACGCCAGAGACGGCGTAAACTGGCATATGCGAAACTAGCCCTCTGTATCCGTACTTAAATCTCGTCAGAGATCAACCTGTTGACGTTGGCTGATGCAGCTTCCCAAATAAGTGAAGTGGTCAACACGCTCCACCAAACACTTCACTCCCTATTTCTAAACTAGGAGTCAGCGTAGTCCAGTCCTGTAACATCATCTCACATTTGACAGCGGGAGCGAATCGCATGCCAAACATTTGTAGATTGCTGCTCAGCTCAAGGTGTTCAGAAGACTCTGCATTTTGTCAGTGTCCTCGCCTAGAAGGACTATATCATCTGTATATTTTAAGTCAACGAGATTATTCCCTGGCAGTAACAAGTCAATCCCTGAGTCTCTGAAGTGAGTCAGGGTTAAATCCATTAGTATATCTATGACGAAATTGAATAGAAATGGGGATAACGGGCATCCCTGACGGACACCACTAGTCGTCACCACTTCAGATGACAACTCGCCGTAAGCCCTCACCTGGCTGCATGAGTTCGAGTAGAGTAAGTAGCGCAATGTATTTCCTCGGCATTCCCATTACAGCCAAGCATCACCAGAGTACCTCTCGGTCGACAGAATCGAATGCCGAGGAGTACTGGTACTGGACAGCTGTTTCGTCAGTATGCACCCCACCCCCACTGCCAGGGTTAGAGCCCAGGACACCTTCCGGTTACAAGGCAAGCTTGTAGACCCAACACTACTCAATGGCCAACCACCACCCATGAATACTAATTTCTACCAATTCGTGGTTTTAGTGAAACTGACTGACTGACTAGGCACCAGCTAATGTGTCAACGCTGGTGAGGAGTATTTGTCCTCACCTCCGACAACCGGGTGGTGGTAGGCCCCATTGGTCACACGACTACTTCTCGCTTGAATTACAGGCAACTAGCGAGCATCAGATTCATTTTCAAATAATTAATTTGGTTTTTATTTATTTACTTATTTTCTTGTGGATTAATAATTAATTAACTCAGTCAAAGTGACTTATGTGATTTACACACTTGGAGTAGTAATAACAGATCAGTGTGTGTGTGTGTCGCATAAACTATTAGGCAAAAAAGGGATGTGAAGCATACAGAGGAAAGTGTCACAAACACACACACACACAAACATGGAGAGAGACACACACATACACAGCTCGCTTGAATGAGTATGGAATTCTTCCATCCTGAGATTATCATGACAACTTCAATTGTGAAATAGGTATAACACCGTAGAATAAAATACTACTGGCGCGGGGGAGGAGGGAATTAATGTCAATCGGATGGAAGCCTTCTTCCATAAACACGTAGGTGTCGTCTTTATTAGCGCTCATTGTTGTTGTCGTCGTCGGCTGACTGAAGATCTTGAATGGTGGTACTGCCCATTGGTGAAAAAGAATGCAGATTCCTTTTACCATTCTGAGATGTACTACTACTCATCAGCTAGTCGATAAGATGGACCATCAATAAGACGATATGGTCTACAGAAAGTCTACATTACATGGAAGCGAGACACAGTACACCTAAATGAGCACATGGTTTCTGTTCACACTGACTGAATTAGAAAGCAGTAAGTAGTTGAATGCATGTTCAGGCACATTCAGCATATGTGTACACACAGAGAACACACCATTGAAGAAGAAGAAACACAACACTTCACACTGAAATAAAATCCTGTTGGATAACAGCTATTTCCCTGAAATTCATTGGACGCTACAGAAGTGTCAAACTGACGGCCTCAGCTATCCAATCAGCTCCTAAAAAAGGGTGGTTATTGATAGAACTTGCTATGCAGCAGCTCTTAACTTATTTCCTTGGACAAAACGAGGTTTATGCTGTCCTGTAAACCATCATCATACATCATCCGACCGGTAGTGTCACATTCCATTGTGTTTACCAATTTACATTGTATGTGTGGTCACATATGTGTATAGGGAGGACGCATCGGTCTCTGCAGGTTAGCGCTACAGAACATTTTCCAAAGTGGTTGCGACAACAAATAAAATCACCGGATACAAGTGATCCTGGAAATAGATGTCCAACATTATCTATCGCAAAGCACATCATCATCATCATCATAGAGACGGGTCCCTAGGTTCACTTCAATAATGCCTTCAAAAGCCTTATTTAAAACAAATTTGGGTCACATACTTAAATTCGATGAAGACTTCGTAATAAAAAGGCTTAAACCTGTTTTATGTGTCCGAAAATTACTCCTTATCAATCTGAACCTGCCTTGGTAATCCAATTTAGAACCAAGGTTCAATTTACTTAACACTATTTTCACCCTCTACCTTTGCTTACGTCACCATCTTCCCACCTCTCACGTGTGACCTTGACTCGTACACAATTTGACACATATTATAGCCATTTATGCTCTGTTGCCTTCTATACAATATATTGTATGACAAGTACTCGTATGTGTGCATGTGATTAGAATCTCTGAGATGTGTTGCCCAAATACATTACAAGTTTCAGATAAATCACGCCTTCTTTTTGTTTTGTCGAGATCTTGAAGGAGTCGACGCCCCACTTCTCCTCCTCCTTCACCTCGACCTCTTCCTCCTTCTACACGTAGACGAATATCCAGCTTCAAACCCACGTCACCATCCTACTGTTGCGAAAATCTGATTTGGCGATACACTGAGCTTAAAGTCTCTTCTGTGTAATTCACGCATTTATTCGATATGGTGGATTATGCGGCGTCGTTGTCAGATTGAATTAAACTCACAAATTCGCATAGAGCTGAAACTGGCATTAATGCCCTGAAGTCTACATACAGTCTTAAAAGTCAAATGACTATCTGTGAGGAGGCAATGATTGAATCAAAATCCTACAACCAGACAGTGAAGCCATTTACGCAAAGTGCAGAGATTTTGAATTGCCCGCCAACAATATCACTAAAAAATAATTGAATCATAACTTTTACGAATATGTGTTGTGAGTTCATTTCTTAGGAAACACAACATTAAGTGCCAAATCATGATGCAAGTCAGTTCAGCACACAATAAATTCAAAACAATTTTTGAACACTTTCATTTCACGCTACTACTACTACTACTACTTTTACTATTAACTAAGCAAACAGATTACTGGGTATTTATTTCACTACAATTACCCCCGACACACACACACACACCGCCCTCATTTTTACCTTCAAAAATGAATTACACGCAAAGGTGATGTACATTTTTATCGACAGATCGGCGCTTACAACAACTTCTGATAACTAATGACTCAGTAGCCTAGTTTTGTTGTTGTTGTTGTCTTTTTCCTTTTCAAACGATTAGTGTTTGGTTTCATGCGCCACCCCCGCAACACACACTCAACAGTTGAGTTAAGCACAAAACCAACTGATGAATCCATAGAAGTAGGATGTTCAAGTATTGATTTGTAGGGATTTGTTTGATTGGTTACAGGATTTCATCATGAGCTGACATTGGTTAGAGAACCATTGGAAAACCACCTAGGACTACTGGACAGCTGTTTCATCCTGGTTTGGGAGTCTTCATCAGTACACACCCACACCACGGGGTTCGAACCCAGGACCTTCTGGTTACAAGGCTAGCGAGCTAGCTCGTAGACCATTAAGCCACTGGGATCAGCCCGATCCAATGGTCAGCCCATGAATTCTAACTTCTGCCACTTCACGATATAGCGCAACCGATAGCCAATGTCTTCGGCGAGTATTTGTCCTCACACACCCAACGTGCTGCACCCTACTGGTCACGACTTCGAAATTACAACCCCAGTGAGCATCTTATTGATATTCAAGTATTGGTTTGTGGGGATTTGGATGATTGGTTACAGGATTTCATCATGAGCTGACATTAGTTACAGAACCATTGGAAAACCTGGGACGGTATAATTTGGTGCAGTGTTGAGTCGAGTTCTCTCAAATTGGATTGATTTAATTGCAAAGCTTTCACTGTCTTTCTAGACAAGATATTCAGTCCAGGTAAACTAGTCAATTCTATATTGCAATAGTATTGCAGCAAATAAAGTACAGGGGTGGCTCATTGACCACGTCCGTTCTCAGCGTTGCTTTCAGTCAGTCAGACGGGAGGATCACAAGATTCAAATCCCCGCCGACCTACTTTACAGATTGGACACCAATGGGTAGTATTAGTAGCAGTTATAATAGTATTATCAGCCTTTTCTCTCATCAAGCTCATATAGCCTGGTGTACATTAAAAACTTAGTCAGTGTGATATGGTCTAGACATGTATAACAACATCTTTAAATTTAATTGTCGAAAGGAGAAATTAGACAGACACCACCAATGACTCAGTTCTTGAGCACCTTTTATTCGTCGCATTCATGCTTCACTTTTATTTGAGAAGTTACATCACCTCCAATGGTTTGACCTCAACACAGATACAAAAGCCTTGAGCGTGTGTGTGTGTGTGTGGGGGGTATTAACTGAATTAAGAGTCATCTATCGCGTAAATGGGATATCCGGTTGGCACCACCACAGTTCCCTCCATCCTCCTTTATTGTAGTGAAACATGATCATCATTGACTGGAGACTATTGCTGACGGGACTCAAAATTGTTCTCAGTGGCACAGATGAATTCATCAATCCACTCTATCTGGTCTCTAATATCTATATAAAAACCAAACCCATATGTTGTTCCATGTTACTATTCTTTCTCCCCTAAATTTTCCACTTATTATGGTACTTCTAAATGCTTTTTTTTGCATTCTCTTTTCTGTAGCTTTGTGGACTGAATGGAGTTTGACTATTTTGACTCCTACAACACTTCAGTGCAAATCTGTACGTTGAAACGTTGTCATCAGTAGAGTCTATATCAATAAAAGCATCTTTCAAAAGTGATACATAAGCTAAGGACTAAGTCGGTCAGTCAAAGAGGCTAGCTACACCACTATCATCATCAACTACATCGTCTATCGCACAGTAGATAGAAGTGCATGTTATCACACATAACGTGTTGTTAACCCTAAACAGGCAGGGGCGCGGGGAGGGGAAGGAAGAAAGTTCAGTTCAAGCATCTATCTCAAAAAGGACTCGTCACACAGTTGTCAACAGTGTCTTTCAGCTTACAAAATACACATTAATGAAAGAAACACAAGAAGAATAAGCATAAGAATTTTCACTTGCTTACCGTAATTTGTTTCAGTCAAAAGATTCCACTGCAGCTCTGATGTTACAGCTCCATGCAAATTGGTCATATGACGCAGACACGAAGAACGAGCAGTAAATCGTCTTTGACACACGTAACATCTAGTGTTGAATAGAATGGAAAGGAAACACACACATACACACAGACGCAAAGTTAGAGCAAGTACAGAATATAACCGTATATATATATATATATATATATATATATATATTCATAGCTAAACAAATAAAATGGAAAAGCAAGAGGTCGAGTGTATACCGAAACCAGACTTCGTGGCTAATTAAAGACGGTTCATCGTGCAGCAACCCCTCCCCTCACTTTTGAAACTTTCCACTTGCTAATGACTACAAAGCTTAGTTTACAGTAAAACAAAATATACACGATGTTATATACTACTGATAGACTGATATGAGTAGCTGGACCCCAAATCAACAAGTAGTGCTTGCTAGTCAGCCAGCCAACCGGTCAAATCGAAACAACAGACAGACGGTCGCGTTACGCTGGTTTTCGGGCAGCGCACGATTCAGCTCACCTCAGCTCAGCGAGGCGGCCTTCAGTGGAAACTATAAATTCCTAAATTTTTTTTTATTCAGCTCTTTCTTCAGTATCCATTCTTTTGAAAATTCGAAATTAGCAATTTACGTACATTTCAAGCGGAAACCAGGGTTATTCCGATCATTATATGTGTGGGGTCTGTCTGATACTATGCATGAATGGTAATCATAGGGGAAAGCGAGCAAACTAGCACACTAGAGATTGATTGAGATGAGTACCTGCATACCATTGAGTCAAACAGAGTAGGGTAGGTACACCGCTGACGAGTGCGGTCAAAAATGAGCGAAACAGCAGTCAAGTATTTAGATCACAACGATTCGCCTGGGCTGGCTAGTGAGTACTGCTTGGTTGATATGAGTAGTGGTGAGAGTTGGCTGCTAGCCAAATTGGTAGACAGTAATTTACGTCAATGTGTACGTCCCCAATACTGGTCATGAGAAAAATAAGAACAAAGACTGATTCAACAACCAATCACAGCAGAATTCGCGTAGGCGGATAAAATTTGCAGATGTTGTTTTCCTTCACGTTCCCCGGTGGAACATAGGGCTTCAAGCTAGCGGCTTGAAGTTTCTGTAGCAGTGTTCATTTTACAGAATGGGGTTGCTAGCCTCATGCCCAACCTTTACTCTTTACCAGCATTATTTCTGGCTTAGCGAGGTAAAGGAGTGCGTCGGCCGGGGATCGGACCCCGGACCATGTGCATGGTCGGCGAGCGTCCTAACCGCTATGACACCGACGCCTACAATTTGCAGATAGATAATCTGAACTTCAATAAACGGCCACAAAGAGATGAAGGATTAACGTTCAGCGAGAAACCACCATCAATCAGAAGACTGTGTTTGTTTACTTACAATAATCTATAATAATGTACATGAAAATCTATAAATATCTGTTGATTTCCTAAATAAACGATCTGTTGCCTGGCCCTTGTCTTCTGTTGTTACACTACTACTACCACTAACACTCGTCTCAATCACCAATCAGTAGTTTATAGTTTTACATCGGGGAAATGGTTCAAAGTGTTCTAAGTAATAAAATATAGCTATCGAAAAATAATAAGGGGTGGAGTGTGTAAACAAATCAAAGAAACAAAACGATAAATAAGCAAAGTTAAAATATCATAGCCAATAAATATCCCAGTGACTTTGAACAGCCAATCGATCAGAATTCAGATACAAAAAAGTAGTAACCAAAAGCACCGCAAACGTGACATTACACCATATAGTTGTCGTTTATGTATTGTAAGAATGTCTTTCAGTTTCTACACAGACGATCTGTAGCGAAATCATACCATACCCGATAGATGCATTCACCTAGGTTGAATGTAAGGCCATGATACCTTGAGATCCATTGATATTTGTGACACTGTTCTTTAACCTACTACTCCTGACTCTGACCATAATCCTAACTCCTGATCTGAACTTTGACCCTAATTCTAACCTTAACTCTACACCCTAAACCTTGCTGTTAAAAGTCATAACCCTAACTAACAGTATACATTTGCAGAGAAACTACCTAGTTCAAAAAGCCAGGAGGCATGCTTCAATTTGGAATAACCTTTCGTAGTAATCACTGGCATCTGATTGACTGTTGAAGGTGGTCAACTTTTAAAAAAGACCTTCACTTTGGAGCTATGCTATTTTAACTTCGCCGATAAATAAAGTAGATAAACGCCAATAAGCGTCAACACGCACCTACATATTCTCCCATTTGGCTGGCTAGCCAGGCGGGATGATAGATAGTGTTGTTCCCCTAATTTGTTTTTTTTCTTTCACAAACGGACACCTGGTACAGCCAATGTACTCATCACACTCAACTCCACAAGAGGAGCAAAATCAACTGGTGTATTATTCTATGGATTACATCAAACTTCTTCAAATGAGGGATGAGATCAAGACGTTTACACGTAGTAGTAGTAGTAGTATTAGTAGCTGAAATACTAGCGATTCAAATGAATAAATAAATAAGGCCAAGGTAGAAATAGGGAATGAATATAAACACACACACACACACAAACACACACTTTATCTTTCACCTAGTTATTCGCCTGCTATTAATCCCATGAATATATAGTTTTACACTCCTTTTCTAAGATGTACACACACACACACGCACCCACCCACCCACATTCCATGAATTACTTTTTTATTAAAATCTCACCAAATCACAGCAATGATAATAACAACACTGATCAGAACAGCAAACAGAATAGTATTTAAGCTGATCATCTTACCACTTAGCCCTCCTAGATGGTGAAGTAGTAGGAAGACAAATATCAAAATGGAAAAACCAGAAAGACTTGACAGTCACGTATATGTGTATATATAATATCAATTTAATGAGATTTAATTTATTTATTTATTTCAGAATGGTATCATAGACAGAAGGTACACACACATACACATACACACAAAGTAAGATCAAGGGGGGGGTCCCACAATCGAGAACTAACAGAAAGAGGGAGGTGGTGGTTAGAACGGAAAAAACGTCTATACTAGTCATGAAGTTCCGATTTATGTACGCAGGTGTCATGTGATAACCTGATTGCATAGTTTTGATTCGTTCAATTGTGGCTTAATTTTCTGAGGGATTGTGATGACAAACAACCAATAGAATTCATATATTTATAGCTGAAATCCCTGAGGTTTTGTATATATACTATCCCATGCCTTTTTACCTAATAAAGGCAGTTGTTATCGTTTTATAGACGCCGTTTTACTCAGTCCGACTTTTGTGTTTACCTGAGTACGGGGGAGACAATTTCAAGACAATCAATCAATTGGTGGTTACATGGTGTTGTGGTGTTCTGGAGGTGTATTCTAGTCGAGTTAGACGAACCCACAAATCAGTAAGTAACACTCCACATCATAGCATATGGGCTATTGATATCTGCTACCAAGGGGAATGAATCATTCACACTCACATAATTACAAATAATGAATACGGGAAAAAAGCTTTTCAAGGTATATTACGAAGTAACACTGAAAACCAGAGAGTACTACTGGATAGTTTGTTTTGTCCAACGTTGAGGAAGGACTCTTCGACGACAAGAAGCACTTATAGCCACATAGAGGAGTGGGTCTTTTGAGCCTTCTACCCATCAGGATGCGTATTGTTGAACAATTGCGAACTGGGACGAAACAGTTAACCACCAGTCGATCAGGTTTGAAACAAAGAGATTGAAAGTCAAGTGTGCTTCAGTGAGAATATGCCATATATCTACCCCACAAATACAGCTGATCCACTGGAAGGAGTGATGATGTCAACAATAGATGACTGACTAACACGAGACGTTATTTGAAGAAGAAAAAAGCTCGAGGTGATTATCATGTTCCAATCCTAAGTCATAAATTAATCTCAAGCGAAGGAAATTAGGTGGTAGTCCGCCTCAATCTCTAGAAACCACATCTGAGTGACTCGATCAAAATCAACTCCAATCGCGCACACACACACACACACAGGTAGATACACAAACACATGCCCTCATTACTCAACAATGAATGGTAGTCATCCATCTTAGTAAAGCCTTTGAAGATGACTTCTTCGATAATGGAAATTTTATTTTATTCTTGCTTCATGACTCAATGAGTACTTTCTGTCACTTATAAGGACAATCTTGGATAGTGATTTAGTCGCCAGACTACCACTGCTAGTAAAGTCCCGATGGGGAGCAGTCACTTTGCAACCTGAGCTACCATTCACATGTGTTGTGTAGTTTAGCAACGACATGCCGGATATCATCTGCCACTTCTTAATTGTTGTTGTCTATCAACGAAAATTATTTCTTTCATTTCTTGTCTAACGAGGCGAACACAGAGCTTCAAGCTTCAGACTCAGGATTTTCCACAGTGGTGGTGGTGGTGGTGGTGGTGGTGGGGGAAAGGCTGTTGCCGTCACGGCCAACCTCCCACCTTTACCAGCGACTAGTATACACTAGGAGGCGAGTTAGGTCTAGAACTCCGTCGAATGGAGATCAACCTCCTGTGAATGGATGGCTGGCTGGCTGACAAGCATAGCGTAGCATAGTACCGATAACAAAGGACCGATTCAAATCTAGACGAGATGGAAATCTATTTTTCTCAACACATATATATCACCCACAATGATAGATAATATCCTGAAAAGAAAACAAATATAATAATAACTGAATCACTCACTTATAAGTTATCTGACATACAGGCGGATTCGATACAACTCCACTTGGTATTGTTGGTCTATCAAACGCTGACCTGAAATAAGCAAAATTCCAATTTAGATGTCGTATTCACGAATGCACATTGTTTAGAAAAGAATTGAAAGGCATGAGGAGACAGCTAGCTGACCCGTCCCTAGTAAGCGTGTCTTCACAAGGTGCACAACCCCATAACCCCATTGTGGATTGAAACCAGGACACTTCGACTTACAAGGAAGGCCTGGTCATTGATAATTCAACTAATAGGTTGGAATTAAATCAGCTGTGAATTCATTCTATTCTCCGTCAAATTTGCAATGATATCAAGTGTTAATGCAATCACCAGTGCCACCCACACAGATGAGCATAAACATCACGCCTATGACATGGTGAAACCTCACACCGGCGGCGACATTCTGTTAGACCACCTTCATGACATCAACTCGCGTTAAGCACTAACAACAACAACAACAAGGGACAGATTCATCATATTCAGATTTCGATTAATCTCGAATGATCAGAGATTTCTTGATACTACTTGCAGACAAATACTCGACGAAGACATTGACTAGTGATCGCGCGCTATGCCGTGAATTGGTAGAATTGGTTAGAATTCATGGGCTGGCTGGCTGGCTGGCCATTGGATCGGGCTGATCCCAGTGGCTTAATGGTCTACGAGCTAGCTAGCTCGCTAGCCTTGTCACTGAAAGGTACTGGGTTCGAACTTTAGTGGGGGTGAGTGCCTACTGCTGAAGTGTCCTACTAAACCAGACCGATGAAATAGATGTCTGGCTGTGTAATTCTCCACCAGCTGGTTTCCCGATGCTTCTCTAACTGATGTCAACTCATGACGAAATCCTGTAAACAATCAAATCAAACAAATCAAAAACAACACTTGAAAAAATACTGTTAACACTGAAACTTACATTTCAGTAACATTTGTATCATCAGAACTACGTGATGTCCCTCCGCCGCCGCTGCTGACCTGTTCTTGCGCCCCCTCGTCAACACAAGGAGTAGTAGTAGCAGAATTATTAGTTGGACTCAGTTGGTCATTATCATCACCTCCAACACTAGCACTAACACCAACACCTTCAATAATGCGATGACAACTACCTTGTACGTTGTTGCAATCACCTTTGTTTAGTGATGGGCATACACGTTTATTACGTGTACTACCACTAGTTTCCGAAGTTGTTGTTGTTGATGCTTTTCTCTTTACATATTTATTATTAAATATTTTATGTACATATTCAATAGGACTAGTACATGAAGGAAGAGGAGGACGAGCAGCAACAGTAGCAGCAGCAGCAGCAGTATTCGTTGTCCTCATCGCAGTAGTAGAAGTAGTAGCAGGTACAGGAGCAGCAGCAGATGACAATGACAACGAAGCAGCAGTCATTGGAATGGTAGTGTTGCTGGCGCTGGTCGCAGAGATGGCGGCGTCAGTCGAAATATTAGATGATAAACATGTTTCACTGATATGTAGTGGTATCTGGCGTGGTGATAAACTCACATCTGAATAATTCTTATCAGCATTATTATTATTATTAGTAGTAGTGTTAGTATTAGTGATCATCTCATGTTCAGGTGAACTCACAATAGTGAGGACAGAATCATTAAAATTTTCACTTGGATCATCACAATCAGAAACTGTTTGTGTTTGACAACATCAACAACAGAAAAGAAGCAGAACAAAAAGGAGGATTAGGAAAATATACTTAAAAGAGTAGTGTATTACAATTTAAATCAAATAACCCAGAACAAATAATCGTAATTTTCGCATGCAAAAAACAAACAAACAACGATATTAGGTAGTTTACAAATTGATTCCTTTACGTTACGAATGGAGTATTGCGGGGGTGAGGTGGGGTGGGGTGGGGGAACTTGAAGGTTCAGCTTTGAAGTTTCGTTAGTAGTGGTGATTATTTTTTCCTATACAGGGTGGGTTTGTTCGCCTGAGGCATACTACTAGTGACTGGTCAGATTCAGGTAAGCAGTTACCTGGGTTCTAGTGAGAAGTTATGACCAGTGGGGTAACACGGAAGGTAGCTATTTTAGACCAAAGGATTTCGCGTTATATCTTCAGTTTTGTCTTACTTAGCTGGTATAATATGATGAGTAATACTGAGGTGGTTGTTAGGCGTACAGAGTGTTACGTAGTAAGTAGGGTAAATCCAGTCACACACAATGAAGTTGTAAGGCAGCTCTACACATCGAGCCGATTCACAGTCTTCTTTGTCAAGCTGACATAGAAGAAACGAATAGTTTGGAAAATAATTACGGGTTGTGAAACCAAAAACATGACATCAATTCATCATCAAGTCCATGAGTACTGGTTTCGGTCAGCCACATATATAGGTAGGTGCGGAGGTAGGTAGGTGGATGTAAAATGTCTAGTTGTGGTCAATGGCAAGCTAAGAACCAATAGCGGCAACAGACACTGTTGGTGTGATATCTTTCAAAATCGTTCCCGATATCGGTGATGCACTCACTCACTCACTCACTCACTCACTCACTCACTCACTCACTCACTCACTCACTCACTCACTCACTCACTCACTCACTCACTCACTCACTCACTCACTCACTCACTCACTCACTCACTCACTCACTCACTCACTCACTCACTCACTCACTCACTCACTCACTCACTCACTCACTCACTCACTCACTCACTCACTCACTCACTCACTCACTCACTCACTCACTCACTCACTCACTCACTCACTCACTCACTCACTCACTCACTCACTCACTCACTCACTCACTCACTCACTCACTCACTCACTCACTCACTCACTCACTCACTCACTCACTCACTCACTCACTCACTCACTCACTCACTCACTCACTCACTCACTCACTCACTCACTCACTCACTCACTCACTCACTCACTCACTCACTCACTCACTCACTCACTCACTCACTCACTCACTCACTCACTCACTCACTCACTCACTCACTCACTCACTCACTCACTCACTCACTAACTCACTAACTCACTCACTCACTCACGCACTCACTCACTCACTCACTCACTCATTCACTCACTCACTCACTCATTCACTCACTCACTCATTTCTACTTATGATAGTTCATTTGAATCTATTTGTTTCAACTGTTGGTTTGCAGCAATTCGACTGCTTGCAAGATTTCCTCAACAGATGACACCGATAGAGAACCAGTACTAAACCTGGAAATATTGGAATGCCGCTTCCTACTTACTTTGAGACTTCTCAACGGTACGCATTCACCAAAGTTTGATAAACACTCGCCGAGGACATTACACATTGCCTAGTGGCCAGTCGCGCTATATCGTGAACTGAAATAGAAGTTGGAATTCATGCGTCAGAAGGTCATGAATCCTTCGAATCCTGGAGGTAAGTGCATCCTGTTGAAGAGTCCCAAACTAGGCTCACGAAAAAGCTGTCCAGTAACAGCACTCCCACCTGATTTACCAATCATTCTCTCACCGATACTAGCTCATGATGAAATCCTGTAATCTCTCTTTCCCCACTATCGAGACGCAGCCTTAATCTTCAAAGAATTACGGATTATACAGTCATAGGTGGCATATTTAGTCAAGTCAAATCAAGTCAAGCTGATACTCATAAACAACAATAAAGCAAAACAAGTGCATATTACTGTCACACACGTGATCCTCATCAACAACGACCCAAAGAAAAAAGAGCTTATTACCATTATCATAATTGTAAGAATATCTTGGTAGCTCACTTTCACTACGGTCTAAATCAATATCCCCAATGAACAGCTGCTGCTGCTGGTGGTGGTGGTCGTGGTGCTGGTGATGATGGTGGTTGTTGTCATCATCATTCACACGAAGATCAGATTTCGTCAATGATGATGATGATGATAGTGGTGGAGGAAATGGACCATGTTGATGATGATGACCATTCAGTAGATCACGGCGACTATTCATGCACTGAAAAATGTGATCCCATAAATTAGCCGACGTTTTCATTGACTGTGGCACGACAATCTCAGTCGTTGGTGTTGCTGTCGCTGTGGCTGTTGTGGATGTTGATGCTATCTTCTTCGTGGTCATCAAAGAGGAAGGGATCAAAGTAGGTGGACATAAAGACGAAGAAGAAGAAGCGATAGCTGGTAAAGATGACACTGATAGACAGGCACTTGGAATCTGTGCATTACAATCAACACTGATGTCTAACGAAGGCGAATTCTCCTCAGGATTGAATGTGTAAGTACAACAAATATAGCATAAAGTGCCCTAAAAATTAAAAAAAATAATTATTTTGTAACAATGAATTCATATCATAAGAAATTACGGTAAGATAATAAAAGAAGTATACAGTGCAAAATATCAACACACATTCAATCGCCAATATTTAGGGTAGATGCAATTTTTCAGCAGTAGTTCCCTGTTCAAAGTCTTTGAACCATCAAAAGTATTGTGTAACGCCAGACGACAATATCGACTGTATTGCACACCTAGTTAAAAGGCTAGGCGCATTAACAATTAATTCTAATGGCAACTTAGATTCAAAGACATTGGGTGACGAGAAAGTGGCCGGAATCAGAGAGCTACGTGTGTGTATGTGTTTGTGTGTGTGTGCGTGAGTGCCTTTAACATGAGATAGAATAAACAAGACAAACGACCTTATCATTGCCTATTCTATTTGAAACAATCATGTTGCTTTGTTATCAAACCAACATTTCAGCTAATCAAGATATCTCTTTCCAAAATAATGATACTGTGGTGGTGGGATACAGACAGACAATGTGTTCCAACCGTAAACACTTCTCACATATTCTCACAGTTCAATACTGCATTAGCAATAGAATACCACATCTGTATATTTGAACATTCTATATCATGTCGTTTAATATAAACCAAAATCACACGCCCACTGACCGCCTAAAGAATATAAACTATATATATATATATATATATATACATATATATATATACATATATATATATATATATATATATTTATATATAGAGGTTAACTCAATTGAAAGTATACGTTTGTTTCCATGTCTTGCCTTCTGCTGTTACAACACTGTCAAAGCAAATAAATTTCATCATAAAAGGCATCTATGATCAAAGACAGCTAGCTAGGCTTTTCATGTCTTCCACTCTCAATGGCCAGGTCTCACAGCCAGCCATAAAGGAGGACGGAGCGGACTGATGAGCAGTACACACGCCCTTTGGTCGACAGCCACCAGGATATCACGTCTACGCCAGAGACGGCGTAAACTGGCATATGCGAAACTAGCCCTCTGTATCCGTACTGAGATTTCCTCAGAGATCAACCTGTTGGCGTTGGCTGATGCAGCTTCCCAAATAAGTGAAGCGGTCAACACGCTCCACCAAACACTTCACTCCCTATTTCTAAACTAGGAGTCAGCGTAGTCCAGTCCTGTAACATCATCTCACATTTGACAGCGGGAGCGAATCGCATGCCAAACATTTGTAGATTGCTGCTCAGCTCAAGGTGTTCAGAAGACTCTGCATTTTGTCAGTGTCCTCGCCTAGAAGGACTATATCATCTGTATATTCTAAGTCAACGAGAATATTCCCTGGCAGTAACAAGTCAATCCCTGAGTCTCTGAAGTGAGTTAGGGTTAAATCCATTAGTACATCTATGGTGAAATTGAATAGAAATGAGGATAAAGACTTTTATTATAGTGATTATCATATACTAACTAACTAGTGACGAAAAACTTTCAAACTATTAGGAGTGAATTTCACATTAATTTGTGTATTAGATATATCACATAGTAAACGGATGAAAAGGTTCCGAACACAATTTATTTATTGTTCATAATCACATCACAATTATATAATCACACAGCTTCGAGACTTTCACTCTATAGTCTTCTTTATTCTTTCCTATTCGCCGTCATCATAAGGGAAGTCGAATTTTCCAGATGTCCGGCTGGACACGTGCTGAATTCCTATTACATGTATTTACAGTCGATTCGATAAGCAAAGCTTCAGTCATCATTCTCTCTCTCTGTCTGTCAACCCACCCTGTTTCATTAGATTTTAAAACTCACGAAGCGAATCTTCCACCACATTAAGGAAATAAGATGCGAAGTTAAACACACTACTGTTTACAGGAAACCCATATTCATAAAAGGATGTTTGTTCGGTAGAAACTGTTAGTTATACTTAACCTCCCAATTCACAATTAATATATTAATATATACATTGATATGACCACTAATACGCTTGTAGTTACCCTGACGAATTTCCTACCTAGTTGATTCGCATGCCCATTGCTGCAACCAATACTAGCAACAACACGAGACGATACCACCGAAAGTGAGACGCAAGATGCGATAAGAGGAGACAGACACCTACCTGGCGCAGAGAGCTCTTACTATCTCGTGTCAACAGCAAAAACGATAGTCAGCGCTCGTGTATACTATAAGATGAATGCTCTGAATGGCCTTGACAGACACTCATTAATTACACTGACAACCAATAGGATTTCATCGGCGTGCGTCGTTGGCACAGTGGTTAGGACTCTCGCCGACCATGCACATGGTCCGAGGTTCGATCCCCTGCCGGCGCACACCCGATATCTATGGTCGGCCTGCAAAATTGGGCTACCGATATCACATGCTGAAAATTCCATACTTGTACCAAAAATACGATGTGGAATCAAGCTATAATAAATAAATAAATAAATAATTGGGGCGAGAGGAATACAACCAGAGATATTTACAATAGCTTGACAACTCGCACGGATATCACAGGTACCAAATAAAAGGCATCAAAATTACTCCGCTCTTATATAAAATAAAAGTACACAATCACTAATGACCAATCATATTTAAATAGGTCAAGTAGTCCAACGTAGGCAAAGGAAGGTGTTAAGTCTATTGTTTTGACTGCACACAGAGTTTAGGAAGTATGTGATTAATCCAATATACTTCCGTCAACTTAAATAACCAACCTTGAATTAGAGTTATGTGATGAATAACTGTGATTACGAGTTGATCACGGATTGATATCAGTTACAGAACCATTGAAAACCAGTATGGAGTACTGGACAGATGTTTCAACCTAGTTTGGGAATCATCGGCAGTGCACACCCGCTGGGATTCGAACCCAGGAATTGGTCGAAATTAGAATTAATGAGCCATTGAATCGGATCCCAGTGGCTGAATGGTATACTAGCTTGCCTTGTAACCTGAAGGTCCTGCGTCCGAACCCCCTTGCAGTGGGTGCGTAATGCCGATGATTCCCAAACTAGGATGAAACAGCTGTCCAGTACTCTCTGTGGCTGGTTTCAATGGTTCTCTAACTCTGATATCAATCCGTGATATACTCGTAAAGACATAACTAACCCTTACAAACCAAACTATAGAGAATCACTGCGAAGCAATCTTACATATTGATTTTGTCACCTGACATGAATAAGTTCTTTGCAATGGATTATAATGATGGATTTTTATTTAGATTTAATGCATTGGGATTTTCCAGGTGTCTTAATAACCATTTTGTTGATTAACATGTCAAGTGGACAGTTTTCTCTAATTTACTTAATCCAATTTCAGATTTTCCTGTCGATTGATTGCACCGAAGTGCTCGGTCTCAGTTTGACGTTTGAAACTACGGGCACTGGGTTCGAGCCTCGGTGAGAACACCATCACTCACTGTGGAATGCAGGTACATCCGGCTGGTAGACGAGTTTCAAATAGGACGAAATGCGCATCCTGGTAGATCCCACTGCTAGTCACCATCCACCAAATAATTTTCTCTACTTATTGCCATAAATAAATCGGTTGACAGAAGCCCGAGAGGACGCTTAGTGCTATGACGATATGTTTTGCCGTTAAACTGAAACTACAGTACGTCTATCGTACAGAACGAATTACCAGTTTCGGTTTTAATCATAATACTACACAAACATTTAAAAAAATCAGTCATCTGGGGAACTCCTACTTCAACATATATATATAAATCTATAGCCTGTTGTAAATGCTTATAGAGTGCGACGTGAACACACCAAGTCTTCAAAAGACTAAGAAGTATTGATTAAAATTCGGATTTTGTTATTGTTGCTAAACGCTGTGGATCTCTTCACAGTGTTTTCAAAGTGATGTGAATATACCCGTTGGCTAATTTGAATTAAACATCGACTAACTAACTAACTGACAATTCATTATCCATGGATGCTACTTAACTTCAGAGAAAAGTATCTATAAATCAGATATAGACAAAATGGGTAAACTAAAAATGAATTATTACAAGGTGAAAGAAACACACGAACACAAAAAGAAAAACCAACACTTACCCAATGCTCTGAAAATGCATGCTGTGTTAAGGCCCAACGAGTACACAACACTGTGGAACAAATAGGACATGTAAAGGTTAAGCTTCCTTTCGTTGCTTCTAAAAGGTAGGCGTCAAATCCTGGAGAAACACCGAATCGTAGCTACATTTAATTTTTTATATGATGAAACAGAACAGAAGAGAAAAAATGAAAGATTAAGCGGATTTACAGGGAATCACCGAAAAACAAAACAATCGTTCAAGTGCTACTCATTAACTTGCAAACAGAACAAATAGAGTACTTCGGTCACGAGCTGGACACATCAGTCAGCTGTTTCACCCCAGCTCAACCTCCAGCCATTGTCGTCATAAGGCGAATAACTCACTGTTCTCTTACCTCACTTCTTGGTCACGATTCCCCATATATCACGAATTAGGAGAAATTGGAATTCATATACCGTTGAATTAGGTCCCATCAGTGACTGAATGAACTACAAGATCACCTTGTAAGCAGCAACTCCTGGGTACTAGCCCCGGTGGGTAGGTACTGATCAAGAGTCCCATATTCGGATTAAAACCCGCTGTTCACCTCAGAGTAAGTAAGTAAGTCAGGGTGTACAATTAATAGAGTAAACGTTTTCTAACCTCCTCCTAATTAACCAGAGCTGAGTGGCAACATAACCCAACCAACCAAGAGAAACATCTTCCTGCTGTTACGAACTCCTATTCGCCAGCAAAACAAAATTCACCTTCACACCCTCTCAAACACTGCAGAAGAGACCTACACAAAGATGGCAACTACTATAGGTTTGACCGCGCTGCTGTGCAAACAATCTTTATTACACATTAAGAAGTATGGAAGAACACTCATTATGCGGAAGACCGTCGATACCACCATGTCTAGGGTGATAACATGGTCAGGTAACATAATACACAAGACATTATTTATAAATTCTTAAGGATAAAGAAAAATAATGAAGGTATATATTACGTACAGCCTAAGGTGTAATCTTTGTCATATGAACACTGAGGTAGAGCAAAGATTGTGAAAGAAAAAACAGGTGAGGGAAACATTCTTTTATTGGACACTAGGCGGCAGTAACACTAATGTCATAACATTTAGCCCTTGGTGTTAATGCTGACTGACTAACTGACTGAATTCTATCAGTCGAGTTCGCAATGTGGCCATCACCACTCCTTGAGCCTACGCTTCGTGCTTGTCGTGCACCCTAGTCAAGCGAACGAATTCATGTACCATCTCAGATTCAGATCGATTGCCACATTGCAAACTTGACTGACTTGATGCAATTCAGTCTGCTCCGAATATAAGTAAAAGCGAGCAACTGGCATTAAAAACAACTACAGCAAGATAGATCGATTATAATTACAAGAGCAGATAAAGGCAATATCACGGTTGTCATGAATACTGCAGACTACGAAAAGAAGGCCATTGATCATCTTAATGATGGACCTTATGAAAAATTCAACGCGAATAAATCAAGAGCAACTTTAAATAAACTGAAGGCTGAAACAAGCAAAATGTTACAGTCAATAAAAGAGAAGCTCGGTGTATCACTTTGGTTTACTCTGGCTCCGAAAAGTTGCAGCCCCTGTAGATTTTATGGTTTACCAAAAATACACAAATCAGATGTTCCATTACGTCCTGTAGTGGATTTTACCAATTCTCCAACATACAAACTTTCTAAATACATTTATCGAGTTCTTAGTCCATATGAAATGAAAGTGGAACATGGAGTGAAGAATTCTTATGAATTTAAGAGGAGAATAAACTTGACTAATATTGAAGAAGATGAAATAATGGCAAGTTTCGATGTTTATTCATTATTCACGAATGTTCCCGTTAATGATTCTTTAAGTATTATTCATAATTTACTTATTGCTGACGACGAACTCAGTGGTCGTTGTCCTTTAAACCCCGACGAAATTATGAAGGTATTAGAATTGTGTCTTCGATCCACGTTATTCACGTTTAAAGGGGTTCTTTACCGTCAAACAGGAGGCATTGCTATGGGATCACCAGTATCTCCGCTAGTCGCCAATCTATTTATGCACTCATTAGAAACAAATGCAATTATGAGATGCCCTAGTCCCCCAAAGATGTGGGTAAGATACGTAGATGATACCTTCATCATAATCAAACGTAGTTTGTTAAATGAACTGTTTCACTTAATAAACAATATATCAGAAACTATTAAGTTCTCCAAAGAGGTTGAATCCGATGAGAATGAGTTGGCGTTCCTAGACTGTTTAGTACAAAGAAAATTAGATGGAAAATTTAAAATAAACATTTTTAGAAAGCCGACAAATTCGGATAGATACCTAGATTACCATTCAGCTCATCCATTTACCACCAAAGTAACTGTGGCCAAGAATCTGATCAACAGAGCCAAACGTCTAGTTACTGAGGAGGAAGATATTAACAAGGAATTAAAATTGGTTCAATCCACTCTTGAATCAAATAATTATCCAAAATCCTTCATCAATAGATATTTAAAATGTGAAGATAAGGATGAATCAAAACCTGTTGCTAAGAATTGGGTTAGTACAGCGGTGATTCCTTACCGCAAACAAACTTCCGACGAAATAAAGCGAATCCTCAACGACCATAATATACGAGTGTATTTTCGTGCATCAAACACCTTACGCTCATTACTGGTTAAGGTTAAGGATAAAATAGAACAAGAAAACCAACAAAACTGTGTATACCAGATCAATTGTGGGGATTGTAACGCCGTATATGTAGGAGAAACTTCCAGACAAGTAAATGTAAGGGTGAAAGAGCATAAACAATGTCTAAAGGTGGTTCCAAAGACCTCTGCAGACTTGAAGAAGCTAGAAAACAACTCAGCGATTGCACTGCACTCGATAGAAACGGGACACAAAATCGACTTTGATAAGACTAAGGTTTTACAGAAAGGTTTTGGTTCATATAAAGAAAGACTGACTGCAGAAGCCCTACATATATGGGTGAATCCCAACAGTTTGAACAGACGTGAAGGTGTGATCTTAGCTGATGCATGGCAAATCCTGACTAATAATAAATAAATTGGATATGTTTCAACAACTAGTCACACTTGATCAAATTCCCGATTGTCTACGTCCTTGTATGGAGAGAATAACAAATCTATAAAATTATATTATATTTGTTAAAAAAACATCTCAATTATTTTGTAACTATCCGGTGAAATCCTGATCATAGCTCATATGAGAATAACAAATGTTTTATGACTGTTCACCCACACACATACACACATGCATACACACACACACACCATTGATACTGCATAACACATATATACACATATATTTTAACAAAAGTAGACTAATTTTGATAGCCTGAGATCAAATTTTGATCACAGTTCGTATTAAAGATTTTGTTTTGTTTTGTTTATTATACATGTTGATGCCTGTTTCTGGATTCACATGACAGGACAAACAATTTAAAAACAAGAGATGTACTTTCATATATAAACATACTATTTTATTAATTTATTTATTATACATGTTGATGCCTGTTGCATGAATCATGATTGGACAAAATTGAAGAACATGAGTTGTTCCTTTTATATATAAACCTGTTTATTTTAATTCGATTAATTTCCCTGAAGAAGTTCGGACCAGATTGCCGAACGAAACGTTGGAATTAATCATTTCAATTTCGCTGAGATTTTACAAATATAATTTTATAAATGTCTATTTCTCACTCAGCGCTCAATTATTTTGCAACTATCCGGTCAAATCTTGATCACAGTTCATATGAATAATAATAATGATTACAGTATGTTATACCAAATAACGTGAACACATATTTGTATGTATGTGTGTGTTTGTATAGATGGACGTATGGATGCAGCATCGCTGTCCTGTGAATTAAGGACACAAAAGTATGGCATGATTTTCACTAATTAGGTCAAATAGTAAGCAGACACTATACATACATACATACATAAAAGTGTGTCTCTTACAATGTGTACCTTCTTCCTGTTAAAATGAGACGGTCACCATCAGAACACAGCAGCACAGTGGGTGTGTTGTACAGGGCATCCAGTCTCATTTCTTATGCCAACCGACCGACTAACTAGTCACACAATTTCAAACGGTAGCTGTGTCTCTTCTCTAGATCGGCATGAAAATGACACCACGCACACACACACGCACGCACACTGGATAAAGATTGTCATTTTTTTTCAGTGAGAGAATGGAAGGCACAGGTGAAAAAAAAAGATATGTCAGTAATAACGATGATTAGCGCAATTCCATATTAGTTTGTTTATTAGACGGATTTATCACACAGACTGTGAAACAGTATTATTTACTGGATGACACAGTTTCGAACAAAATTCATTGTTCATAATCATCTCATCAATTATAATCACACCTCTTGGAAACTTGAGTTTTATAGTTTTCTTTGTTCCCTCCTATTTGTCATCGTAGGCGTGTTAGTAGAATTTTCCAGATATCGGGGTGGAGAGGTGTTGAATCCCTCCTATTACACACAACCATACAATAGGATGAGATAGGATGACAGTTTCAAAATCTACTGTCACAGGGTGGAGGGAGAGATTGATAACAGAAGCTTTGTTTATCGAGTCAACTGAGAGAGAATACGTGTAATAGGAGTGATTCAAAACCTGTCCACCCAGATATCTGGAAAATTCTACTAACACGCCTACCACGACAAATAGGAGAGAACAAAGAAAACTATAAAACTCAAGTTTCGAAGAAGTGTGATTATAATTGATGAGATGATTATGAACAGTAATGAATTTTGTTCGAAACTGTGTCATCCAGTAAATAATACTGTTTCACTGTGTGATATATCCATCTAATAAACCAGCTAATATCGAATTACTTACTACCACAGTGCCCAACCTTTACACATATATTAAGATGATTAGCGCAGTTAATGATAGCAAGGTCAGATTCCTCAAGAATAGAGGAAGATGGATCTGTACCGATGACATTCTAGACAATGAATTAGTGTACATACATCCGAAGTGTGCTGGTCCAAAAGCGTTATTTTAGTAGATTTGCTAGGAGACACATGAGTAGTGTGTACAACAACAAAGAGAAACTGACCACAGATAAAAAAAGAAACAATTGTTCCTCTGGCTGGTGAAGTTCCACGTGTAAGATTATCTACAGTCATAAAACGGAGATATACTGCTGCCACGCTTTGCTTGTCCCTTTCAACTACCTAGATGTGCTCCTCCAGATATAGCCTACACTGCGGAACCTAACTAGCTTTGACATTCTCGTTCATTCTGTCTATAGTATAGTTGAAGTGACGCTGTGCTCAGGTAAGATACATATACATAGACGACAACCATCCGTTCCTAAAGATGATTCCCAGTACATATACATATCACAGGATATATGTTATGAAGAGAACACTGAAATATGAGTAGGACAACAAATCACCCAGTGTTTCAGTGATATCTTAAAATAGATATAAGATGCCTGTCTCATATATATTTCTCCAAGACTGATTAGTGAATAAAGAATATTCATTCCGACAACTTCTTCAGTTTCCACAGTATCGTATACATCCATAATACTTAACGAATGGTAGTCATTGACAACATTAACGGTTTTTAAATAACACTGAGTCACTATAACATCAAAATTCCGCTTAGTAGTATATTCGAATAGATTGTTAAAATAGAGAACAGTTGAAAACATGCATAAATATTTACATTACTAAGTTGAATATCAGATGTCCAAATAAATGATTGTGATTAATAATCAATTTATTCTGGATGCTCATTTCGTCCCCCATTTAGGACTCATCATCATCATCATCAACTGGATATATCTGCATGCCCTAGTGACTGGTGGTGTCCCCACTGACACCCACTCACTCACTAGATGCGTCAGTACTAGGTAGGAGCCAGCATGTTGTTATGACAACAGAAGCTAAATATTTTGGTCGTAATATCAAAGCTGAATTAAAAACAAATAATGTTTGTACTTTTATTATCCTTGACCTTATTATTATTATCATTATTATTGTACTGCTATTATTATACTCATCGTTAGCTATTCACACATAGCAACAACACTCACTGCGTCATTGGTCAACTCTTTCAGATATACATATACATAGAAACAAGCTATGCACATTAGACTAAAGCCTGTAGTACATCTAATGTAATCTAATTATTGTTGACATTTTATGTCTTGCGCTTTAAAAAGGTGTCGAAGAGGGGGGGCGGTCGGTGAGGTTAGAAGAATGTGTTGTTTGTTGCTTTTTTTTATTAAAAATTTGACAAAAATGAAGAATAATCAAAGAAATCAAGAAATGAAACTTTGAAGGTCAAAAGTATGTACAACAACATTCATTATTGACTCAAAAATATCTCGACCTACCATTCCAGCCTACTAGGACTACTACTACTACACGAGATTGTTTACACAACATTTCTTCTTTAGTGTGAAGGTGTACAACATAACTCATGACTCATCGATGCAGTTTGTTAATTTTTAACTTGAAATCGTTCTGGTGTGTGTGTGTGTGTGTGGTTTTCAGTGGTATTCAAGTTGTACAAAAGTGTACTTTAACTCATGTTCTTTTTCATTATTAAAATAAAAAGTACAAAGTTCAAAAATTTAATTCAGCGCATTTTCTCCAGTCAACTGAAAACTTTTAGTTTGACTTTTTACGAGTTGATCACGGATTGATATCAGAGTTAGAGAACCATTGAAAACCAGCCACAAGGAGTACTGCCAGACAGCTGTTTCATCCTAGTTTCGGAATCATCGGCAGGACGCACACACTGCCAGGGGGTTCGAACACCCAGAACCTTCAGGTTACAAGGCAAGCTAGTATACCATTCAGCCACACTGTGACCCGATTAAATTGCTCTTGAATTCTAATTTGACGTCCAAATTCTACCAGCCCACTATAAGCAAAACTCGAATTGTGTAAGTTTGCTTTGAATGAAGGATGCATTTCAACTTGTTGACTGTCTTGTAGATGCGAACATAGAAGATATGAAGGTGGTGTATTCTGTTAGTGTTAATTCCTTGTTCACTAATCTACCATCGATTAAGACTGTTGATGTTATTTGTGATTACAACATATCTTCCAGTTGTTTTCCGTTCCCTTTTTCCTTTAAAACTTATTTGAAAGATTTATTACTATTATGTACTAACAACGTCCATTTCACGTTTAAAGGTGAGCACTTGTGATGAGTAGATGGTGACATGGCGGAGATCGTGTGAAGAGGAGTTGAAACAGTATGCACTAACATGGATGCAGGTGAAAAGTACAGCAGAAGACAGAAGCAAGTGGAGACGTGCAGTTGAAGCCCTATATTCGACTAGGAACCCAAGGGAACAATCATAATAATAACAATGACCCAAAGGGACACGAGACCATAACATAAAGTCAGAACTTTGTGTACATTGTGAACAATTGTAAAGCTGATTGTTAAGCGATCGTGAACAAACTACGGGATGACATCACATCTCGCGATATTTTTGCTGTTGTTGTTGTTGTTAATGCCTTAACGGGACTATCTGTTACGATTATCACGTTACTTGAAGATTTTCCACAAGTAGTAAATATCCACCCTGAGATAAAAACACACCCCGAAAATACTGTGTTGTGTGTAGACACACACACACACGAACACATATTTCAGAATAAAGCTGTTATCATCTTTATAAAAACGGAGAAAAATATCTGAATAGTTATCGAAAAAACAAAACAAAAATAGAGGTTAACGACAAATCATGCACACACACACACTCACAAACAAAATATAGAACAACAAGACTGGTGATGTCTCATAAAGCAGGAAATCTAACTTACATGTCGATAAACTTCTATACAACACGGAATATGATCATTAGGTTTAGGGAATAGAAATTCCTCTGATGAATACTGTCGATTATTTGAAGATGACGATGATGCATGCGGATGTTGACGCTTTAATCGACGCAGTTGTATTGGATCCGGTAGAACAATAGACGATGATTTGTACTTGTCTGCATGTATCAAGTGTGTTCCAGCATGCGATAAAATAGCCAGTGGAGAATCGAGTAAGGCTAATCCACATACACAATGTGGTAGAGCTACACGAAGGTGAAGATGAAAATGACAAGAGAAGCAATTTTTTTAAAAAAAAGCAATAATCAATTGAAGCACACTGCAGCATTGAGAAACTGATTATTAATCTGGGGACTAAGGGTATGAAGATCTTGCAGTGGGACACCTTGATTTTTAATTCACCTTAGGGGATTTTCGACCTTCACAAACGTTACCATCATCATCCCTAACATATATTCTACTTCCTACCAATCAGAAACTCTCAGATGATCTGACCATTGAAAAACCGATTAATTAAGCAGTGTAATCGCATAGAGAACTAATGCAAGTGTGAATGATATTGACACTACTGTGGTGAGAGCAGTCTAATAGCCAAATTGGTAGACAGTAATTTACGTGAATGTTTACGTTCTCAATATTTGTCGTGAGAAAATATGAACAAAGACTGATTCAAAACCGACCACAGCAGACTTTGTGTAGGCGGATACAGTTAACATATAGGTGATCTGACATTCAAGAAACAGTTACAAAGAGATGAAAGATTAACTTTAAGTGAGAAACAACCAATCAGAAGACTGTGTTTGTTTGCTTAACTAATCTATAATAATGTACATGAAAATATATAAATATGCTTGATTTCCTTAATAAATCATCTGTTGCCTGGCCCTTGTCTTCTCTTGTTACACTACTACTAAAAGAGGCAAATATGTCCTATTCCCCAACAATTGCGTCGGTGGCATAGTGGTTAGGACTCTCGCCGACCATGCACATGGTCCGAGGTTCGATCCCCTGCCGACGCACACCTGATATCAATGGTCGGCCTGGAAAATTTGGGCTACCGATATCACATGCTGAGAATTCCATACTTGTACCAAAAATACTGTGTGGTTTCAAGCTATAACCAAAAAAACAAGTATATCGGAGTATCCTGACCGATAGCTGCAACCTTGAAGTGGTGGTCAGGCTTGCACATATATCGCAATGACCCAAAGACGGATTACGCTGGTTTGGCAAAGTCGTGTTGCTGCCGAGTAGAGATGTCAACAGGAGAGAAAGGAGTTTACCTCAGATGACCAGCAAGTCAACAATGTTACCTTTCCACTCTGGGTGGTAAGTAGGAGGCTAGAAAAGATCGTCCCAGAAGACTGTAAATTCTGATTTTTATAACGGCGATCCAAACATAAATTCAAACAGGTCATGTATGACCAGTCTGAAACTGC